AAAAAAAAAAAAAAAAGAAATATAACTAGCAGTAAATATATTCCCCAAAGCTGAGATACATTATGCAGTCTCAAGTTCTCCAATTCCTTCTGGTACCTTTTCAGCTATGGTCATTTAAATAGTACATGAACTTTTATGCTTCTTTTCATGTATTTCTTTATTACTTACTGAGGGACAGCTTTTGCATTCGTGGGAGACAGGATCTGCCACTAATGAAATGGCAACATAATTTGAATCCAGAGCCTTGATAATGCTGGCAGCTTGCTTCCCAGCCTTCATTCTTGGGCCAGCTTCAGTTGACTTCAGTTCCAGTTTCTGCCTGTGTGTACACATAAGGAAACAGAGTTTTAAATCTCGATTGTACTTTAAGGCATGCCCCCCTGCTAACACAAACAGTAGCTTAAAATGGTTGTATGTATTGCTTCATAGCAGTAGCAAGGACCACAAGACTTCTGCATTCTAAGATATATATAGCTGAGTAATGGTCTTAAACAGGGACACATCTGTTCTATGGCACATTTCACACAAATGAGGAATCAGATATTGTGTACTGTAGAGCTGCAGCATCTTAAGAAACTCCTTTTAAAAATAAAAAACAAAAGATCCATTTAGGGTTGATAGAACATTCTTGGTCCTCAAAAACAAAAAACAAAAGATCTGTTTAGCTTTGACAGATCATCCATGGACTTTGATATTCAACTAAAGAAGGGAACAACAGGAGAAAGTCAGGCTCTGTAAAGCAATCAGATAAGTGCTTTACAACTGAGTCTGACAAAGCACCAGATTATTAAAGCAGCTGAATCATTTGCATGATTTGTCTGGCTGCTTTGAAAGCCATCCCTGGCTGTCTGCATGTATGGATCTGGCCAAAGTGCTATCTCTGCAAGCACTCACTCCAACCAGGGAGAAATTTCCAGCTAGCCACTCAAGATTTGCAAAAGATGCAGCTGCTTTAATGTATTGAGGAGACATGCTTTGCTTATATGCTTTGCAAAGCACGTCTTCCAAATGCATTGCACAGCCCTAATAGAAAGTTCCATTAATACAGAACAATGAAAGCAATAATAAACATATTAAGCTTCTTAAATTGTATACAAAAAGACTTTATTTACAAAATGCTTTCCCCTTTGATTTAAATTATAGTACTTGGGATATCAGTAAAGGATACTAGGTTGGTTAAAAGCATTATTAATTGGATTTGACCACTGGGAATTTTCTGAAAAATAGTCAAAGAAACCACCTTACTTTGAAACTACTTTTGCATTAATAAGTTGCAGAGATTTCAAATTCAAAATATGATTTTCTTCAGCCCGCACAGACTTAATGAAGGTGTCCTCCAGTATATAAATTATAGCTGAAGTGGATTTTTTCTTCACCTCAAAGAGCTGAAAAATAATTTTGTATAAATCAAAAAATACATAAAATCAGGATCTAATTCTTCAAATTACTTCAAGCCCTTTTTCTAGTATGCTGGATATAAAATGACTTGAATTTATCGTTGCTCTAAATGATAACACTCTGGTTCATCGAGTCAGATCAATTAACAGTAGTTTTATGATAAACAAAAGAAAGCAGAATCAAATAGAATCAATTGCCGCAATTTAGGACAATGGTCCCTGGTTTATATAATTTTTTAAATCAATAAACCATTAGGAAATCTGAGAAAATATATATTGAGCCATACTCTGATTGTCCCCAAACCCGTGTTTTTTTTTAATTCAGTATTACTCAATCCTTTTTTGTCTGATGTAAAAAATGTTATTCTAATTGTCATAGTTATCTGTTTGTGAGGCTCCTGGAGGCATCTAGCTGACCATGGTTTTGCTGAACAAAGCAGTTCAGGATTGGAAACACAAAATTAAGACCCATGAATTAACCAAGTTGTACAAAAGTTATGAATTCCACTGTACCTGATTGTGGCTGGTTACACTTGGCCGTTCTAATTTGCAAGAGTTCAGGGCTTTAATTTTAGTGATCTGATTCTGGCGAGCCTGGTAAGTTACGTTGCATTTTCCACAGATATCAATCTAGAGAACAGATGAAACAAACATGTTGGTGTATCAAAGACTCCCTGACCGACTTTTATTTTTTTTATTTTTTTTTACAAAACATAGCATCTGCTTTTTGTTATAATTATTCTCAAAGTAGTAGGACAAAATAGGATTAGTCTGATAAAACCATACAATTGCAGCACAGCCACAGAGATGCAATTGAAAAGCCTTGGTGAACAAACACGTTTTAACTGTTCAAAATCTTATTGCCAGCTATATCTGAACATGCTGAAGAGAGATCTAGATTCCCGTTGGGTTTCTACCCAATGCAAATTTCACCTTTAGTGGAGGAGTTTTCTGATGAAGGAAAGATCTGCAGCCCCAGTAGTTCTAATTCCCATTAGAGTAATAATGTTTAGCACTACAACTCTAAATATTTACTCAGGATTTGATTACTATTCACATTTCTTTCAGACATCAAAGAGGAGACAAGAGATCCAAACCTTTTCTGTAAGTCTTTTATTGTTGTACTGTCTTAATCTAACCTTTACTTTGGATTTCCAAATATATTGTAGCATGGATGTCTGCACAAGGGGTAGGGGCAGGGTAAATGATGTCACATGCATTATAATGGCATTGGACAAATGACACAATGACAGCAGGACACACGTGATTACGGATGCTTAAAATTATATGTAGCACTCAGTAGACCTTATCTAAACACCAGAGTGAATCAGATAGTTCTAGTTTACAATACTCATATGTGTAGAAACTCTATAAAACAACAAATCAAGCAACAGCTATTGGCTGTGTTTGTATCCCAACAAGCCATGGTTTGTTAACTATGGTTTTATCAAATAAAGTACAGTTGACTAGAACCAAACAAAACTATATTCTTGCTTCGTGTGATGGGTGAATCCTATCTTAGACTTGCATGTATAATATGAGTGGCCTACTCACATAGCTTCAAAACTCCAAGTTCATGCAGGACAGCACTGCCCATTCTTTGAACTTTAAAACCATGAACAATTCTGTTTTCCAGTTCTAGTTAGAAAATGAATTTGGGTATATTGTTTCTGTGAGCAAGCCCTGCTCCCAGGTAGCTGTTTATGTAAGTCACTGATCAGGGTTCAACACTGTCTTTATTATCTTCTTCAATCAACGTAGCATTCTTCATTATTCTCTGCTTTTCCTCCGCCGTTTTCCCTCCCTGCTCCCCAGTTTTCTCCAGATGAATTCACAATAGGATGAGATGAGAGACAGAGGCAAACACACTGTTATAATGGGCTTAGCAAAAGGGAGTGAGCATTTCACAAATTTACTGAGATGGTTTCAGCATGGGATACATCTGTACAGAATAGGAAAACAGTCATAGTACCCCATGAATTCATTTGGTCTTGCCCTTAATCCTTACTTTGAGGGCAATATGAGCTGGTTCTTCAGCAGAGTTTATAGACTTCTTTCATTACTGGTAGTGTGTTAAATAACAAACTTCTTACATGTCACACATAATGCATATGCATTTATGTTTTACTTTTTAGAGCTCTGTCCTCAGCACGTAAGATAGTACTCACTGCATTAATTTCGGCCCATATTTGAACATATACCTACAAATGGTTTCTATTAAAATCTGTGTCCCCTTTTCTCTTCTTTTTTAATGATGTACTTCCTCTTCCAGAGTAATATGCCATCTGTTCTTGTTCTTTATTCTCTTTTTTATTCCTTTGTTTTTTATAATTTTTGTTATATTGTATTTTCCTATTTTGTTTGGTTACAATGTATACCACCCAGAGTCAATTTGGAGTTAAACAGTGCCTAAATTAAATAAATTTAATTAATATGTTAAGGTTCTCCTATTAAAATCAAGGCAAACAAATATATTTAAGCTGAACACTTTAGCATGCATGACAGAATAGAGTACCTCACTGGCATCACCAGAATTCAGCTGTATTTGAAACAAACTAGCCAGGCCTCTCTTGAGATTTTTGATAATAGAAGGTTCATCTTCATAGCAGTAGAAATTTTTAATCTGCAAGGTGTGGTGGAGGGAGAGGGAAAGAGAGAATATGTAGTAAGAACAAATTTTAATCTGAAAATTATCCTCCAAAATTCCAGTCATCGTTTGATCATTAATTTTCCTTAAATTAATTAATATTGATTAATTTAATTAATCATTAATTAATTATTAATATTAGAGGATGAATCAGTATTCTATTCCACGCAAATATGTCCCAAAGCAGGTCCAATAAAACAGCAGCAGTACAGAACAGGAATACTGTATGTGTTAAATCATCAGGACAAAACACAATCTATTATAACTTATTTCCATGCATAAACAATTTTATTTATTTATTTATTATTATTTATTAAATTTCTCCCCCGCCCATCTCCCCCCAATGGGGGAACTCTTACTATGCAATATTTCATTTCAATAATAGAAACATTATAACATTTTAAATTCATCCAAAATCAGCAGTGTCATGAAAACTCAAACATGACGTTATTTAGAGGTTGCTAAAATATGTGGCCCAGAATTAAATGCAATAAATCTTTCCCATGTTGCCATGAATAAATAACACAATTACCACCAGACAGTTGCTTAAAGTGCCAAGCGCAGGCAGTGACAAGCAGATGACTTCGAATTGTCAGTACAAAAAGTGATGGATGATGTGATGCTTGTCTGGCAAATAAGTCCTTTATTTTCTTGTGATGAGTGTCCAGCTCTGGTACAGAACACATACTTTAAATGCAGAAGGCCTTAATACAACCTTCCTCAACATGGTGGCCTCCAGATTATTATAATAAAATTTCCAGAATTCCCAGCCTGCATATCCTAAAGTCAGTTCCTGGCATCTTCAATTTGAAAAATTGAATCAGAAGGCAGAACAGTAGCTACTCAAAACCATAGGGAACCACTACCAGACTAGACCACCAGTGGCTACAGGTTACATTCAATCCCATTTTTTAATGCCTGTAGCCCATCCCTCATTGATACTGGCCAACAACACGGTAAAATGTTGGGGGAGAGGTTATTAAATAGTGAGCAAAATGGCTATGTCAGTAATCTTCTAGATGAGATGAATGCCTCCCGAGGGTACATGATTTTTTCCCTGGAAATTCATGATCTAAACTATCTATGGGCTTCTCTCATATCCCTCTAACCACAGAACAAATAAAAATTTTTAAATGGTCCTCTGTCCTCATGATGTTTTCTTTGCCATCCCCAGCCCACAGCAGTCTTAAAATAGCATTTTCCCTTTCTCTTAATACAATTTTTGCCATGAAGATTGTGCAAGATGCTTCCTCAATGATTCTGGTGATGATGTTATCAGGGACTGGGACCCGCATAGCTCCCATTGGCTACTTTATGCAGCTGTCATTATGCCCCACCCCCTCCAGTCACTGGGCATTGCCCTCCATAGCTTTTGGGGATTGGGCTGCAGGAGAAAATACACACCTGGTTTCATCAGTTTTGGAAAATGCTGGTCAGGCATTGTGTGGGTTCCGTATACGCACAGGTTTAGTGCTGTACTGAAAGCACCAGACCTACTTTTTTTAAAAACAGGTTTAATGTTCTGTAGCATGATTGGTTGATTGGTTGATTGATTGATTATATGCCATCAAGTTGGTGTCAACACTTAGCTTCCACATAGATAGATTTTTCTCCATGACAATCAGTCCCTAATCTGGTCTTTCAGATCTTCTAAAGGTACTCCCATTGCCACTATAACTGAGTTCATCCATCTTGCTGCTGGCCATCCTCTTCTTCACTTTCCTTCCACCTTTCCCAGCATTAGAGCCTTCTCTAGAGAGCTAGGTCTTCACATTATGTGTCCAAAGAAGGATAATTAGAGCCTGGTCATTTGTGCCCTGAGTAGAACTCTGGATTTATTTGTTTGATGATCCATTTATTTGTTTTCTTGGCTATCCATAGTATTATCAGGAGTCTTCTCCAGCACCAAAGTTTAAAAGCATCAATAATCTTCCTATCCTGCTTCTTCAAAGTCCAACTTTAATTTCCATAAAATATCACAGGGAATACCATTGCTTGCACTATTCTGATCTTTGTAGGTATAGAACATCCTAGTATCTGAATATCTTTTCCAAGGCCTTCATGGCTACTCTACCAAGCGCTAGTCTGTGCCATATTTCTTGACTGCTTGTTCCTTTATTATTAATGGTTGATCCTTAAAGGCAGAAGCTATCTACCACTTCAATATCTTCATTATCAACTCTAAGGATGATTGTTGTACCAGTTGTCACTAGTTTGGTCTTCTTTATATTCAATTTTAATCCCATTTTTTTCACTATGCACTTTTGCATTTTCAGCTACCATATTAGAGTAGTGTCATCAGAGTAGCACAGGTTATTGATGCTTCTTCTTCTGATTTTAAAACCACACTCATCTTCTTCCAATCCAGGTTCCCCTAGCACTATGCCTGTTTTTAAACAAGACTAGTACCCTCTGGAGAGAGTGCTAATCCTATGCTGCATAGAAGGGTGATTAAAACAGGAAAAGAAAGATGGGTCCTACCAGCTGTGTGCTGTTATTTCTGTCTCAAATAAGAGCATTACATATTTTCTGTGGTTTCTGCAAACAAGGGGTTCCAGATCAATTTATTGTTTTAATTACTTGGGATAGGGGCATCATTCTGCCTCCTCTTACACCATTTTGCCTATTCTGTGGGCTGCCTCCAGGTCGTGCTGGCCATGAGATCAGAACAGTTTCCTTGCTCACTTGCTGCTAGCACTGACACTCAATTATGGCAGACTGAAGAATAAGTGTAGGCATTTAATTGTTAGTTCGATAATACAGTCACGTTCCTGCCCATGCAAATAAATACTGAATTCTTCCTGTACATGTCCTCCCCACCTGAGATTTGTCATCCAGACTATTTTTGGACATGAGTTAGGGTTCTTTTAAAAGCATGCTGGACCTGTTACTAGTCCAAGTAACGGGGAATAGGGGTGAAGTACCTTCACACTTGTGATTTGCCACTATAAAGATATGTGAGAAAGACCTTGAGAAATGGGGCAAAAAAATGCTGCCTAGGGAACGGTAAGATAAGAGAAGGCATAGCACTCAGCTGCATAATGGGTGGAGAAAGAGGCTCAGAAGGGACCCCCCCCAACTTCTCAGGCTGTAAAGGAGAAGTTTCAAACTTGCAAGATTCTGTTAATGTAGCCTTACAATAAAGTAGAATTAACTTTAATAATAATTGTTGCGCGCCACCTAGAGTCACTTTATGTGGGATGGGCAGCTATAGAAATACGACAAATAAATAAATAAATGAATAAACTCATCAAGTTGTGCTTCCTGTCTGGTCTACCTGGGGAGACTGTCAGCTACTTAAAGTAGCTAAAACCTCAGTGCCAAGCACCCAGCTACATTTCATGAATCCTGCCCCACCCTATGTTAAGGAGAGCAAAGGTGGTTATTTTTCCCAGTGGCGGTGACATTTGATCAGAAGAGAAACAAAACTAAGGACTCCACCAATTGTTTTCCTTAACTTGTCCCATGTGAAGACTGTAAGGACAGCACCTTTTGCGGGCTTTATTACTGAGACAGAATGAAGCTTGACAAGACAAGGCTGCAATTTATGTTGCCTTTTCTGCCAGCGTAAGGACTAAAGGAGAGTGCATTAATGCAGTTGTGAGGAAGATCTCTTTATGGCGGTACTGTTTTATCTTTGAATAGGGAGGTACCACTTCAGAAACAGCAACATATCACTGCCTTTCAAGGTGGGGTATTTGCTCCATGGGTGGGACCCTCTTCCTTCTCTTTCTGTTCTTGGGGTTCCGTCACAGGAACACACTGGCATGGGTGAGAAAGGTGTCTGAAGTGTAGAATTGCTGGCATGCCCATAAAAATACCAGCATTACAGCTCACAGTAGTTGGAAAGTAATGAAGTAGATAATATAGGCTACATCTTAGACCTCATTTGTTGAGTTGAATAGGTAACAAGTGTATTTTAATATATATGCCTGCTACT